GTGTCAGTATCAGTCAATACTGAACTAGTTAGAGGGTTCTAAGGCCACAGAGCTGAGTTTAACAATTTGCGATTACTACTTTTTAGGGACATCCTAAAAAGAACCTCTGGAATAGATAGCTTGTTCAGGCAAACTTTCCACTCTGTGGGGTGGAGGAAGAAAAATCCTGTCAGGCACAGACAATGCTTACTGACTATAATGGTGAACATGTGACTGAGAGACAGAAAGTCACTACAAAGGTCGTAAATGCGGGCATAGTCACAAAATTACTTTTTCCTTACTTTCATAACTATGAACAGTCACTATCCAAGGCAATCACTAAATGAAGACAACCTGTAAATCAAATACAAAATTCAAAAGCATTTGAAGAATTAGGATTGACTGCCAGTGATGTGACAAATCAAGAGAACAACTACTTGCATACTATTGTCAATGTTTTGCTTTTTGTTTTGCCTTATAGTTCAGGCCTTTAGCCCAGCCTCTACATATGAAAGTGGGGAAAGTCTGTCTCTAAAAAGCACGGAGTTTCTTAAAAATTTACACACTCTAAGATGGCCCTAGAATTTCCCATCCCACAATTCAAAATCATGTAAAAAATACTGTATTTCTATTGTTCTTTCTCCAGTTTTTCAACAATAATTGACTCAACAGTTATTATTTTAATGAGTGCTAACAGCATCCTCAGAATTGTCCTTCATCTTCCATATCCAGAGCTTGTTGTATTATTTATCAAGTTAACTATTCAGAAACTACTTTTCTGAAACCTTCTCAATCCTACCCGTTGAGTTCATGTTTGTGCATTATTTGTTTTTGTTTTGTTTTTTGTTATAAAGTCTTGGTAAAACTTTGCTTGTTTGAATGTGATGGTTCAGTAATTGATGTACTATTTTGAATTCCCACTATATGTTGTACCATATACACCAGTCTTTCCAGTCCTTCAGCTTCAGTTTTGTTTCATATTTGTTGACCCATAATTGTTAGCTTTTTAAATGGCTCCGCTCCTATTACTTTAAAGATTTCAATGGGTATTTAATTGGTGCCTGCTCTCTAATTTGACAACTTATTTACTGCTGTCATACCTCATTTTATTTATTACAGGACTTATATCCTTCAAAAACTCTGGATGGTTCATAAGCATTAAAATATTCTAATAAAACAATAACAAAAACAAATACTTAAAGGCATTTCACTGCCTTCATGAATACCACCAATATGGAGGCCACCTATCTCTGTCTCTTGACAGGATGCACCTCCAACTCCTCCCCACTGGATCAGCCCTCCCAGGTAAATTAGACAGGAAACCCAACCATATGAGCTAATTCTACTTTATTGTATTGTAAAGTTACATTAACAGAATCTTGCAAAGTACAAACTTCCTGTTGCCTTTTTTAATTGCTTGATCAATTAGGGTGGATCCTTCCTAGGTTTCGTTTGACCTTTAAGCCTTTGGAGGATCCTCCCTCTTTTGTCCGATTGTTTCCTAGCCAGCATCTCTTCCCCTCATCTTCCAAGGTCATACAGACATAATTGCACGCACAGGTCAAGCAGTTTCTGCTTGGAAAAGATAATTCAGAAGATATTGAAGAAACGAAAGCAGGAATGGTTTTATAGATCAAAAACAGCACTTTAAATTGTCAGGTTGCTTGTATGTATGTTTGTATGTATGTATGTATGTATGTATGTATGTATGCCTTCACGTCATTGTTGACTCCTGGTGACTGCCTAGAAAAGTCTATGTAGTTATCTTGGCAAGATTTTTCATAAGTGGTTTGCCATTGCTTCTTTCCTAGGATTGAATGTATATAAGTGGTCCAAGTTTACCAAGTTGACTTTGTGCCTAAGGTGGAACCAGAACTCACACACTTCCAGTTTCTAGTCCAGTGCCTTTACCACCACAGCAAATTGACTTTCACTTGGAAATATATTGGTAACTAATGCAGTGCTTCTAATCTGGGTGTAATGTTGTTGAAGCAACTCTCATATGCTGCATTCCATACCATTTAGTTTTTGAGTAGTCTTGAAAAGCAGTTCTAGATAGTGTTGCAGTAGTCCAGTTTCAAGATAATGAGGGCATGTGTGACTCTTGCCAATATCTCATATTCCAAGCTTTGCCTTGCCACTCCTAGCACATATAATAAAATTGGACAAAGGCTTGGTGACAGCTTCTTTCTGCTAATCAAGCAGAAGGCTTATATAGGTGAAGTGACCCCAATGTCACTTCAGGTAGAGTGCAATCTGGATCCAGACTTGGCACAGGACCCAAAGAGGAGCCAAGATGTTTTTTGAACGAACGGTACTTCCATCTTGTTGGAATTTAGTTTTAGCTTATTTTGTTCCATCCAATCTAATCAGCCACAGTAGAAATTTATAGCCAGATATCCATTCATTGCTGATACATCACCCCAATGATGAATTATCTCCTCCAGCAGTTTAATACTGATCTTAAAGAGGCCTCCGAAAATATCGGTGAAGTCCTCAAGTGCAAATCCTCCATTACTATTGAATGGAATTATCTATTCAAAACAGAGAAAAAGGCATGCCCCTCAACCCAATCTTTATAGGTAGTACAAGATAATACCATGTTGAGAGATATAATGGGACCAAGAGGGCTTCATGCTCTTTCTCCAAATCTCAGCAAACATTAACCTCAAGACTTTCTGTCCCACATCCAGGCCTGAAGGAAAGAAGAGGCTAGGTAGAAGTGATCAATACAGTTGGATCAAGAGATGGTTTCTTCAGACATGGCTGCACTATTGTTTCCTTTAAGGTAGTTAGTACAAACAAATTAATAAAAGAAGTATTTTTTGTATAGAAACCTTTTTGTATCTAGTGATATCCCTTTTGGCAACCCAAAGAAATCAAGTAGCAGATGATTCAGCCTGCATTTTATAGAACTCAAATTGGAAAGAACTTGTCCATTTTCTCAGAATCCACAAACTAGGTCTTCACTAAACATTGTCCCAGTCACCTAATGAAATATGTTCAAGTTGAGTCTATGCTAAAGTGAATTGAAGCAATTTGATCAGCAAAAAGTCAAGGAAAAAATAGTCAGAATGGAATCACCATAAGTGGCATCACTGACTGACATTCCGCTGAAACAACCAGGGCAAAGAAGTCGATGCTTCACTACTCTAATCACTATAGGGTGGGTTCAGCCATGAACATGCGTTTGAGTTCTGCAAGCTTTCTCCTTGTTTACTACCACCATTACTGGGAATTATAAGTATTTTAGTGATGCTTTCTAATCAAATAATTTTCAGTCTACATTATTATAATACTGTTATATCTTAATTACTATTGCTTACATAAAAACTAAAACAAAATGCCAAAATATTTATAATTTCCTGTAATGTCCAAACTGAAAATAAAAATATATCTCTACGAAGTAATTATACCTTTAATTTAAACAAAATTAGATTGCAATTATGGTTTATCTAAGAAACTGATCAGTTTCTTAAACAACCAACTTTAAGACACACAATTTATTTACCAAATTATACAACATGGAAATGCTTTAACCAAAACTGTGGTGCACTAAAATTTGAAATTAAAATCTAATTTTAAAAATTGTTTGGCTGCTTATATTCACTATCTAGAGTTTATTATTATAATCTTGAAAATAAAACATTATAAAGACTCATAATAAAATACTACATAATTTTAACCTTTTGTCTTTGCCATATATTATATGACCAAAAACCACTCTTACAATGGGATTTCCTCTCATTCTTTCCCCTTTCCATTTCAGGGTGTGCTGAAAGGAAAGGAAGGGGACAAGAATGCATTATGTTGATAAGTACTGCTACTGGATATAATCTTGTTTGTTAAGTTTTGGACCATTACATTTCATGTATTGTAAGATTGTCATTAAACAATTTGAACCAAGGGTGTGTAACATGTTTCATACATGAAAGCAATTCAAAACAAACTGTTCCAACCTCACTGGATTTGTTGTGATATTCTTTTGACCATGAGTGGGAGAAAAGACTTTACTTAATTTACAGAAACTTTAAGGATGGATATATTAAATCACCACAGAATTAGCTTAGATTACCACAGTATTTATTAACTGTTACTTTTACTTTGCATTTTACCTATCATAGATCCATAGGAAATGTGCACATACACACAGGGGATGCTCGTAATAAAATGTAAAATATAATATAAAATGTGAGAAATAGATGCACCGGCACTCTGCCCTAGACCAGTTGTTTTATTATCAGAGGCATCCCTGGGAGTTTCCATACCTTTGTAACCCAGAAGAGGTTTTGCCAAAATGCTTCCAGAGGGCAAAGGCTATACTCCCCAAAATGTAAAAAAGCTTGAAACTAGTATTTGAACTTAAATGATCCAATTTTATTTACTGGCTAAGTGGGAGGAAAAGAAAGAGCCTAAGAGAGTAATCCCTATCTAGATCCTGTCTTCCTTGAATGATAACAAACTGGTTCGAGACCCAGCCTTGTGCACAGTTCATCTGCCTTGCTTGCCCCATGTGAAATTACACTGCTTATACTGAAGATGCTCTTAGCGTCTGAGGCTTTTTAAAAAACTTTTTAAAGTTCTTTAAAATTTAAACATAAGACCACCGCCTAGTTTGCATCACAAAGGCTGCGTTCGCCTTATACATTTATCCGGACTTAACAAAAAGTTTCCTCAAACCCCCCCATTTTGCGGGGAATTTGCATAACGCTCTCAACCCTTCCACGGAACGACTCTGGGCTGAGCTCGCGCCAGGCTAACAGGCGTTTGGCAAGTTTGCGGCTCTGGGTTTAAAGTGGCGAATTCAGCCAAAACCAAGGGAGGATGCCAAAGAAGTATCGCAGCGCGGGGCGGAGAGAAAGGATGGCGAGGAGGTGAAGGGTGGCGGGGGGGGGGGGGGAAGAGAGGAAAAAAGAAGCGAAGGAGAGGTAAAATCGGTCGATAGCCAACCTACTCCAGCCAGGAAGGAAAGAAGGAAGAGTCACACCGCTTCTGCCTTCAAACTTTGCCCCCGTCCCTACCTTCGTGCGCAGTGAAGTTCAGGGGCTACTTTGCTCTCTTCTTCCTGTTCCTTGGAAGAACTTCTCGTAAAAAGGCGAGATAAATTGCTGTGCCAGGGGGAACCAGTTCTCCTCCGGGTACTCCCTCCAGACATCTTCAACAACCAGGGAAGCAAGCAGGCTACTTTTTTTCCCCTTAAGGCTGGAAAAAAAACAACCACCACCCAAGGGGCGAATCACCGACGCTTGTCCTGGGGACGGAAGCCCTCCTTCTGACTAGCTTCCTAGTCCATTATTGTCCCAACGGGACCGAGTACGGCGAAGCCTGCCTCCGAACCCTCCCTCTCTCTACTAAGCTGTGGAGGCAGAAATATTTGCGCGTCTCCCTCAGCGGCCCGGCCCAGGAGGCGGGTCTCGGCCCTGACCAGCACCGCCCCCTTCTCTCCAAAGCCCCGCCTTTTCCCCCCCACAGCGCAGGAGCTTGGGTTCCCGCGCGCGTGATCCGTGAGTTTTCGCTTCGCCGGTGTCGCCTCCTCTGCTCCTCCCTTGCTCTCTGCGGCCGAGAAGTTCAGGTTGATCGAGTTTTTGCCTTTCCTCCGAAAATAAACAAGTCACCACCGAGGGGTGTGCTTATTTCTCGACAACAGCGCGAAAGCAATACTGGAGTGACTGCCACGAACACCTCTAATTTAACCTGCTGAAAACCTGTTTTAAAAGTATTCTTAAAACGTTTTAAGAAATAGCTTCGTGTCCCTCCCTTTGCCCAAGACTGACAGCCCTCTTATCAGTGATAGCAAAAACCAACAAAACCCAAACAACAAACAAAATAACAAAACAGTAAAATACCGGAAAATATGTTCGTGGCCATGAAGATAGATATGTTGTAGGGTTCATACTTCTGAGCCTTAAGACCACTAAACATTGATGAAATCATGTCCCAGAAGTTAATGCAGTCAGAATTGATTAAATAAGGCTTATTTAATCCTCCTAGGCATAAACTGATTGTCCTATTTTAGTGTAGGTGCTACAGGCACTCTATTTTTTTTTAATATTCCTCATAAAAAGTATAACAATGGGGCTGAGGTTTTTTTTTTTTTTTACCAGTATTAAAAACTGGTATAACTAGGACATACCAAAGACCTGTCCTCCTACATAATCTTAAATGTATTTATTATTCTTCATCCATTTTCTCCAAGACACTTCCTTTTCCAGAACAAAAAAATGCTCTAAGGCATGTACACAGAAGGAAGCCCTCTGAATAAATGAGTTTGGACTGGAGCCTAAAATAATTGCGTGCCATTGCATAAATCAGTTTTCTTTTTAAATAACATTTCAGTGTGTTATCGTCAAAATAAAAGCCCAAAATGTAAACAATTTGAAACTATTTTACATTTGAACTGCTCTGAATGTTGTGTAGACCGAAAAATATACAAATAGTTTCCTCTCTGAGTCTTCGGAGAGGAACGGCATATAAATTTAATTTAATTAAATGAATTAAATAAAAATTAAAGTAACAATGTATTACAACAGTTCTATAAATGCCAGTGAGAATGCAAAGTGAGTAAGTACAAGAACACTTCTTTCATCCTGCAGAGTGAACCACACTATGTGGATACAATAAGATCTACTCCCACTTTCTGGTTACTAGTTTTGAGTCATATTCCTCCACCATAAAGGGAATACTGTGAGAGTACAAGAAAATAGTAACACTCACATGCCAATCAATGCAAATATTACTGATACTATAAACAATAGGCTTTGTTCCAGACATCCACCTATTAGGACAGCCAGAAACTTTCTGAATAACAACTTCAATCTGCTTCAGGCCTGGATGCAAGAATGATCCTCTATTACTTCTCCGGAGTATCACAACCTTCTCTGCTTTACGGAGGGAGCTAAAGGATTCAATCTGTCCCATAAGACCTGGTCAGTGCTCAATACGATTAGGACTCAACATGGCAGATATGTTAGCCTACTCTGTAAATGGAAAAGCTCTCCTCTTTGGAATGTAGCAGCCAATGTGGCATATTGTGGCACAATGCCCTCTGAGCACATATAAGGGAAATTCCAGAGATTTTATGTATGCTACACCATCATGCACTGACTATATAATCTACCTTTGAATTTGTAATTAGAGTAAATGTTTTCATATTTGTTCATTGAGCATATAATTGTGATGTGCTTTTTAACATATTTGCCATACACTAAATAAATAAATCCTGCAGAGTTGGATCCAACCTTGAGGAAGCCCCTGCTTCTAGATTCACGGCAAACATAAGATAAAGGACTCCCTGCGGATTTTACTCCCTAGTTAATGCAGGTGCTACTCATCTCCATTTTGAGGCCATTGAGCCAGCACTGTCTGAAGACTTTTTCATGGCCCTGTATGATATCGATGGCTGTGGTCTTCCCACCAAAATGGTACCTATTTATCTACTTGCATTTGCATGCTTTCTAACTGCTAGATTGGCCAGAGCTGGGGTGAGGACAGGAATTTACCCATTGCATGGCGCTCAAGTCTCGAACCTGGGCTTTTGGCTTTCCAGAGACAAGCCTAGCATCTTAACTGCTGAGTCATTGCGTTGCCCTTGGCAAAGGACTAAATGTCTATGTCACTCCAGGGTATGGGATGAAGTTTAAAAACCCACTTCCTGAGTAGAGAATTACCTTAGAACAGTGATGTCAAACTGGCGGTCCACGGGCCGGATGTGTCACATGCAGGCCATGCCCACCCCAGCTCCGCAAAGGGAAAAAACATCGTGATACGTCACAATGCCTTAGAAGGTCTTTGGCAAATACTATGCTCCAAACATAAACACTTAAAACCAATTATTTGATCAATGGTGGCCATCCCAGCACAATATCCTTGCTAGGATTAATTCTATATATTAATTTAATATTACATTCCAATTCTGAAATTAAAATAAGTAGTAAGTAGTAAAGTAGTTATACAACATCTGGGACTTTATATTTTTATTCTGCCATTTTTTGTCAACTCAAGGAAGTATACATACCAAATTTTCCCATCTCATATTTTCCCCATAGCAACAACCCTGGGAGATGGGTTGGGCTGAATTACTGGTCCAAAATCACCCAACCGGCTTTCATGCCTAAGGGAGGCCTAGAGCTCACAGTCTAAGCTACCACCTTAAGCACTACATCAAATAGGCCCATCCCATTGATTAGTTGGGTAGGTAGGTATATAGAGAGGTATTGCCTCTCTTCACCTTCTGAGGTCTTGGCAGCTGTCCAAGGGACCTTATGATTGAATAATTATAGCTTTTCTTTCTAGCGTGCAGTAAAATAACCTAGTTTTACTTCTGATAAGAAGGTTTGGATCATTTAGATGATAGTTCCTTCTCTATTGGTATACAATAACATCAAAAATTTACCCAAAGCATTGTGACAAAGGCACTGTAGCAATACACACTTTGGGCTTAACCTTACATTCTTATATTTCATATAAGAAATTATTTGTCATGTGTTAGGTGGCAAAAGCCTCTAGCTTCTGACCCTAATTGCCAACTAAGAACCATGTAAATGCATGCAAATTAAATAGATAACAATGAGGCCCTAGTTACCATATAGAAACCACAATGCTGGCAAAGCCTATATATGAAACCATATGAGGGCTAAAGATATATTTTATATTCTAAAGATTCTTACATGTTACATAGCTTTGAAAAGCAACCAGACTGAACTTGCAACAAAAAAACTCCAGCTATTTTAAATGTTTTATTCAGAATATATTGCTAAGAGCTAAATAATATCTCATTAAATTATATTCATTATTCAACTTGCTTTGCTGCTAATTACTAAAGTTTTATTTCTTAACAAATTGCATGTTGATTTTCTCTTTGACTAATTTTGAAAAACAATTCATTTCATTCCCCTTTTAATTTGTGGACAATGTAATCCTATCTATGCTGCTTATTAGTAAATTGCACTGATTTTAGACTTCTTAAAATTAGAAAATTAACCTTAATATAGTTATTTGGAAGTAAATCAGGAGTGGTATTTACTTACCTTCGCTACCGGTTCGCAAATGTGAGCGTGCGCGCTATGCTCACACCACCTCCACACATGCGCAGAGGGTCAAAAATGGGACGTGATGATGTCCAGGCAGGTGGGCAGAACCTCCCACCGCCAGTGCTACTGGATCGCGCGATCCGGATAGAGCTGGCTGAATTTCACCACTGAAGTAAGTCCCATGGAACTCAGCTGCCCTGAACTGAAAGACTCTAAAATATCCAACTAGATTTCTATATGTATTTACCTATCTTGCTCTTAAGCATACTATGTTAGGTTGCAAAAATTTACATGAGCATGCAATGAGCATTCCTATTAGTTTTTTATGCCCCTTTTTATGATTGAGTTGCAGAAATTTAATAATTAGCATCAGGTTATTTTCTAATCCAGTTTTAATATATTGCATATATTGTATATTTTGTGACATGATATATGTCCAACCTAAAGCTGCGGATTGCATTACTCATTTTCTTAGCAGTTCCTTATGTTCTTAATTGTTCAATGGTCTAGTACTATATTAACAACAGAGGTAGGCAGTACTACCTGCAGATGTATGTCAATAGTTGGATATATCAAATTAGATTTGCTTTGGTCAAAAGTTCTATACTATGAAATAAAAATATGATTATTTATAATTGGATTGTCATTTTCCATAAAGAGATTTGAAAAGTTCAATTATATTTTTCAATATAAAACTTATTCTTAAAGCCATTCTGTTGATTCATGCAGTTTCCATCCTTGTGATAGTCCAGAAATGAAAAAAAAACATGTGGTTGTTCTCCCAGGCCTTGTGATTGAGGTAGTCGTAGTGTCCCCTTTAGTTTACTTTCGCTCCTCCATGTTCTCATTTTTAAGCTGCCCAGAATCACCAAGCATTTATGTAGCTCCAAAATTGGAAAATATAAAACAAATACGGTAATAAATTCCAATCATTCCTTTCTCTTGATGCAGCCCAAAGATGTGGAAGTTCTGTCCTGCTAGCTTGCTTCACTCTCCAATGAAAGCCTGTTCCCTTCAACTTTTAACTAGGAAAAATATTAGTCCAGGTAACTGATCTTGAAGCAATTCTTACAGAGTGTTTTGCCTGCTTTGCATTTTCCCCAAGTGAAGCATGGTCTCTGAAAAATGCTCCCTATAGTATTTCAAACTACTTCATTTCATGAATGCAATTTTTCATCTTAAAAGATACAAATTCGTTATGTCAGTTATGTACTTTATTTATCAAAATATTGTTTAAGCTATTACAGAAATCAATATAATTTAGCACATAAATAGCACATCATAAACATCCAAATAGCTTGTAAAATCACAATTCACATCTAACTAAAACATTGTATGGCATAGCTAATTTCTGTGCAAGTTAAAAATTATACCAAATGTCTATTGCAGTGGGCTCTTTGACATGATAAACATGGCCTACTAAGACATGCAAGATGCCTATGAATGTTATGGGAATATAAGTATGCAAAATAGAACAGTTTGTTTTAGAAATGTTCAATCTCCCTACCCTAAAGGGGTTGATTCAAATGGTTTGTGTCTTTTCAGAAGTGTATCATCCAGAATACCATACTTTGAGATGTTACAGTTCCGGTAAAAACCTCCCTGCAATGTGTGGATCAGCCTATTCAAGAAGAAAACAAATTCCAGAGAAAACTGAATATTTTGCAATTTTTTTAAAAAATCACCCATTTTGCTTAAAGCAAAACAGTCCAACTTGGTCCTTGTACATCTGTCATCTTCTTCTATTATCTGTCTGGAAAAATAACTTTAGTTCCATTTTTTTCTTAACCCTTATTCTCTTTCTCAATATTTCGTTATATAAAACAGGTTTATAAAGTCAAATTTCAAGCTATGGTTTGAAAGTTATTTTGTACACAAGAGTTAGGGTAAACCATGATCTATGACAATACAACATAATGATAAAAAATAATGGAGGGGAAGAAAAGTGATAAAAGTAGTCTTCCCAGCCGCAGGGAAAAAAGTTTAAAAGAACAAGAAGTGTACTACCTTAAGTTTTACAGCATTTTTTCTTTCTTTCTTATGACTATTAAATTTAAACCTAATTTTAGTTCAGGAAGAGACATGGCCAGTGTGAAACTCTGAATGTAAGACACTATACAAAGCTTTTCAGAAATAATTTTTGTTAAGATATCATATGCTTTCCCCTAAGTTCTAATTAAAAATCAAGCAAAAATATACCAAAGGTTTTTGAATAGTATACAATTACTTCATTGTTTTATTTGACCACAGCTGAATCTCTGGTCACATTATGGCCATTATAAACTATTAGCAAAAATATTATTTTATTTTTAAAGGCTTTTATAAAAACCAACACAAGAAAACACACAGGCCTAAAGTTTTTGTCTCCAAGGCCTTCGGTATCTATAAATTATCTTTAATATTTCCATTAGCATATTAGCTTTTCATGTCTTCATTATTTGGATCTGATCTAGATAAAAACAAATAAAAATTCATATTAAAATGCAGTTTTCTTATAGGATACCATCAAAAAATTTCCACCACTGTTACCATTCAGAAACATTTTAAACTACTAAGGAGTAATGTACAAATATGTTTATAGATTTTCTGGTTCCTGCACAGAAATGTCCAGCAGCCTACTTTTTGATGGACAGTTCTGGGAAACTATTTCAAAATTCTAAATATTTACTAAAGTTTTCAGTTTCCATATAATAAATATTGTAGTTATTTATGAGGTTTGTCTGCATCTCAATCTTCAATCTTTGCTGACATCTAGTGGTGTTTTTTTTACGTAAGATTCTTGACTGGAAAGTTTTAGAATAAAGTGTTAATAAAAAACTGTTAGTTTTTATTTATTTATTTTGTCAAGTACGTATTAGATAATGTATATCCATATAAGCATGAACTGAATACATAAAATGAATACAAATAAAGAGAACATTAGGACAAGGATGGTAGGCACGCTGGTGCTCTTATGCATGTCCCTTACAGACCTCTTAGGAATGGGGTGAAGTCAACAGTAGACAGACTTAGGTTACAATTTTGGGGGTTTGGGGATAAAACCCAATAGTTGCTGTCCAATTAATTCTTCTTCAAAAAGTGTATATTTTTATTGCCAAAACTAAAGTCCATTTTTAATACCTTATTCTGTCAAATCTTTTAACAGTGATATAAAGGAGCCTAATGATCTTTTAATGTAGATTTATTTGCTATATTCTGCTTGCTGTAGCAAAATAACTTGAGGTCCAGCGTCTCTTCCTACTTTTGAGAAAAATGCCTCTAGCTGCTCTTTTGTTATGGCAGCTCAAGCAACACTGTTGCTTTGTAGGTCATATTAAAGCAAGTAAACTTCAGGTAAGGTAGGAGTAGCAAAATTATCTTCTCTGAATTGCTTAAGCAAATGTCTTATGAGGATTAATGGAATGACTAGCCTTGTTAGTGATGTTACATGAAATAATTCACATACAGCATATTTGTAATGTGAGTATGAACCATCATCTTGGAATGAAGTTCTATAAACGGCTTCTGTTCAGTATTTGTTGTTCCCTTCCCTTTTAACTGCTTTTGGTTTTTATATATTTTTAAATGATTTTGATTTTTATATTGTTTTTTAGTGTGTTACATTCTGCAACCCATTTTAAGATGCTTTTACATAGGAAACAGTAAAAGTACATCTTAAAAATTTTGATAATAGTAAGAACCGTGTGTGTGTATACACACACACATATATAATTTCAGCTGCTTTAAACAAAAGCTATCATTTGGATCAAATTTAGACCAGAAATTAGAACTGTTATTCTTCTTTTTATTGTATTATTTACAATGAATTTAAAAAGGAAATGAATATTTTTATAATATTATTTGGACTTTAATCACAGGAATAAAAGTATTGCTGACATAGTAATCAAAATTGAATTTTTAAAATGGAGATAACCTTGTTTGAATGACAATGTCTCATTGAAAGAAGTATCCAAATAATTGTAAGGATACTTACTGTGTAATTTGATCTGACAGCAGAAATAGGCAGGAAAAAACAAAATGAAATGATGGAAAAATATTTTTTTTAAAAAAGGAGGGCTTGTGGAAAAAAAAAACAAGGAAGGCAAAATTAAGACATACCTTGTAGCCAGTCCACACCTTCTTGCAATCCTTCTCCTTTAAGAGCATCACTAGCACTGAAACAACACATTCTTGTAAGTGATATAATCAATTGAAGAAATATTTTTTAAATTAATCAGCTTCAAGTGAGTCACACATACACAACGGTCTTTAGTTATAAAATCTAGTTTCAAACATAGATGGTACCAAGTGTGAAGTTACTTCCTGCTTCCTGATCTACTGAAGAAGTTAACACACTGGATTTTCTCTACATGCCCACACTGGTGCATGGCAAGTTATCTGCCCTACTGTACTTTATATCTTAACAGCACTTTAAAAAAAAAGTCCAAGAAATTGGCATCAAAGAGCCAGCTGGCAGTATCCGCTTTTATTTCCAAGAATGCTTCTAGTCCCCAAACAAATCCCCTAAATTTGGGGGCAGTTGTAACCCACTGCTTTGTAATTGTGTATATCTTCCCAGAAAAATGGCAATGATAAAGCAGAGGATTAAAAGTGTTCTATAGTTTTCAGTATTCATGCTGCTTCTTGCTGGGAAATCCTTGTGAGGTCCAGCAGCTAGAATGTGTGTTTAGCTGTGACAAAGTCATGTTGCCCGGGTGCACCACGAGGAGGCTAATCTACATTGCAACCCAGGACACTGCTGCCTAATGGTTAAACAATCCAGATATCCGGCCATAGGTTTAGTAATCCCAGTAACTGCTCATAATTTAATTTTATTCATAATTTTATTCATTATTCGTGCTGTGTGTTTTTAAAATGCTGTGATGCTTTATATTTTAATACACATTATATGTTGTTTTTGTGAATTTTTATGCATTAATGCTGTATTCTGTTATGTCATATGAAATAAATAAATAAAATTCTATAGTTAAATGTAAGCCACAATGAAACTATTTGAATGTGGAGACATACAAATTGAACCCAAAAATATAAATAGAAGGTTCTCTTGCCCCCCCCCTATTTATATGTATATGTAATATATATTTAAAAATACAAATATACCTGCATACATACATACATTGGGTATTTGATCATGTATGCATGGAAGAAACCAACTCTCTTCCTCATTTTGCACAAAACCCTGTATTCAGTGAAATTTTGCATATTCATCATTAGTGAAAGTAATATTTTCCAAAAAAGAATTATGGAAAGTAAACAGATTTATTGGATAGCATACTATTAACTAGTATGCACAAGAAAACTAAAGAACAATGGAATAAAATTAATTTGCTTTCATAAGCTTATTTACATTATCAAACATCAGAACATTCAAAATCCAAATACAAAATATAATTGTGTATTTAATTCATATTAAATATTATTTTAGTTATAGTTATAAAATTAGAATTTTACCAGATCTGCCATGGCTTGTCTTTGATGTTCTCTAATGTCAGTAAATGAGAGACTTTAACAGAAGATACAGCATCTCTAAGATCCATCTTGTTTGCAAAGAACAAAATTGGTATTCGGCGGTGTTTAAGATCTAGAACATAATCATTTGTTAAATTGTCACCATATATATGAAAACTGTTTTAGATAGAAACGGGAAACATACATTGTTTATCTTCCTTAAAGATTACAACCCTCAAGATGAAAGCTCTAAGAATGTTTATTTCTGAAGAAATCTCTAAATAATCTTGCATACTCACATGTTTAAGCACAAAAACTGTTGCAAATGAAAACACATTTCAAAATGCCCCAACATATCCTGTTGTTCAAGTAAAAACATTTTAAAACTCTTCTTTCAAAACAAAGCCCCAAAATATATGAAATTAATGTACTTTTTTCTAATTAACAAAAAAGCTGCACACATAAACCAGAGTAAATTTATTAGACAATATGGGAAAAGCAATGATTAATTGCTTAAAAAAGAAATGTTAAATCAGACTGGGAGGATGCAAACTGTGTGGCTTGTTTACATTATGATTTATGTTAAGCTAATGAAATAGGTACAGCAGTTAGCCTTAGAATGGACAATTAAGATACTGAAGTAGTGGACAGCCTGTGCCCTTCAGGATCAACTATCAACATTAAAGGAACCAGCTGTCAAGAAATACATTGCAAACTAGCAGTAGATTGGGTAGCAAAGGCATCCTAGAAGAGATACCCAGATGTTGCAATTTACAAAGATCAGAATTGTGCAGGCAATAGTTTTCCTGTGATCCTCTATGGAAATGAAACTTAAGCTCTGAAGTAACAGGACAGAAAGTTTAGATGCTTTTGAACTTTGGTCTTGAAGTAGAGTCATGAGAATACCATACAAAACAGAGAAACAAAGAAAAGTCTAAATAAATCCAGATTCTCATTTGAAGTACAAATGACAAGCTCAAATTATCATGTATAGATACCCTAGGGCCGTGATGGCGAACCTATGGCACTTCTAGAGAGGCTCTGGAGGCTGGGGACAGCAAAAAATGTCACTTCCTGTCCCACCGGGAGTTAGGAAATGGGCCCTTTCAGGCCTCCGGAGGGCCTCCAAGGGAGTGGGAAAGGCTGTTTTCGCCCTTCCCAGATGCATAGAGAGGATCTGGAGCCAGGTAAGAAAGAAAAATGGGCCTACCAGGCCATCGCGTGCCAGGAGCGGGGGGGGGAGGGGGGTTGCGCGTGCATGTGCAGGGGGTGCACATAGAATTATGGATGTGGGCACGCGCACGTGCGAACCTCCCCCCCCCCAGCATGCGATAGCAAAAAGATTAGCCATCACTGCCTTAGGGAAAAACCTAGTTCTATTAAGTAAATCTACAATGCTAGGAAATGTGTAAGGAAAGAGAGAACAACCTCTCCTCTCATCTATCAACCTATCAAGGGGGATAGGTTCTATTATAGTGCTGACTGGCACAATGTTAAAAGACCTAAAGGACCAAGAACATACTCAATTAAAAAAATGTCCAATTCTAGAGGTTTTTACTGCAAATTAAACTCAATTTCTTATTTAACAAAAATATTTATTTAATGTTTAAAAAAATGTCAGTAATTTTAATATTGAATTTAATACATTTCATAGTTATAATGATGAAAAATATACCAATAATGCACATATTTTAATCACTAAATAAATAAATAAATAAATATGTAATTTAGAATTATTTCAAAAGCGATTGATTTATTCTGAAAAAGATTCCCTACCTGGATGAGTCAAGAGAGTATCAAGTTCTTCCTTGGCCACAACCATTCTTAGTACGTCACTGCTATCAATGACAAAAATAATGGCCTGACAATCTCTGTATAATATAAAAACAAAAGACACGAATTACATGTATGAAAAATCTGAATAGTAAAGTGGTAAGAAGCCATGAGGCAAAAAAGTGTTATAGGCTATGCCTCAGAATTACACAGAAAAGCAGCATACTGGTACGTGTTCTTTAATTGCCCTTATTTGGGTCATCCTGCTAATAGGAACAACTAAATAAAACAAGACACCTCTGCAAATTGTTTAGGATCATCAGCAACCCTGGTTTCTTTCTTTCTTTAAAGACCAGAACCAAAGGCCATGATTTATTCTTACTTTTTGATTCTGGTTTATTAGGAAAGAACAAGTCAGAATTCCTAGTTTTCACGTAATTCTGAAAAAGGATTGTTTAGTTGTTCCTTCTAGCAGTGTGCATTAGCAAGCATTTTATTCCAAGGAATACAGTAATCCAAATACAGTTAAGGATTTGGAAGAAAAAAAAAATCCTATTTACATTAAAATTTAGGTTTTTGTAAACAATGATAATAATAATCAATCTATATTAATACAAGTTGATTTTTAAAATAATGTTTAACTAAATGATTCTATCTGGCAAATTTGTTCCATGATACCTCTTTGTCATCCATTCATGCACCAGGCTGCATTAAACAATTCATGCAATTACGAATAGTTGGAAAAAGTGGGAAATGTAGTAAGTCTGAGAAACCTCAGTTGAAAGTGCTCTAGTGCAATAGACGATATTTAAAAACTCAAAAACTAGCTTGAATGCAAAATTGCAATATATACTGTAATACAGCAGTTGTAGAACAGCATTTTTACATTCCCACTCTGCAGCAGCCCTCTCTGCCCCCAAGCAGTAGGAAACAGTCATGTTCATGTGAAGTGCTGCAAAAATGTAACAGGAGCTATTCGTAAAAATGAGATAGGCATTTATCTCACTGAAATTCTGTTTGCAGAAATTTAAATCCAAGCTATTAGGGCCTTTAAAAGGTAATATGGTAATTTGCTAAATCAGAATGCTTAACTACTATAAAGTAAGTTTAAAAGACAGTCCTGTACTTACATACATCTATAGAGCTCAGTGTGATTTACTCTCAGTAAGTATGCAAGTATAGCCTCAATATACTTTAAAAACAAAAATAGCAACTTTGTTTGAAGTTGCAAAGTGGTGAGGCTTTAAATTTTCTCTATTTGAAATCTTTCAAAACAAACAAACAAACAAACAAACAGTAATAAAAGCTTAGATGCTTGTTGCAATGTGGCGACGCTTTACAATTCTATTTGGAAAATAAATAAATAATTAAAATGTAATAGAAGCTTAGATGCTTAATGTAGCAGCTTTTTATCTATTTTTTGCACAATTAATTAAGCAGTAAATGCTAGTGTTTTCAAGATATAAAATGTTTAAATACTGGAGAAAGGAGACATAACTCAATCCATATAAATTCATAATCCATAAATCATTTTATATTATTTCCTATAACTATTCAAGGAAAGAATTTTAATTTGTTATATAAAAATAATTCCATAGGCACTCATACATTCTTAATAGAAGGACCAATATTTTGTAACCTAATTTGTCCATTAATTTATTATATATATTCAACAATTAAGCAGCTGTAAATGTATTAAGTATAAATTCCAGGCTATGCAATCTATAGCCCACCATAACTTAATGGGTTGCAATTTCTATAAGTTGCTTTACAAGTAGCCCTTATCTTACAATAACAATTGGGTTTAGAATTTTGGTTGCTATGTGATGTGGTCATAAAGCATGACAGCATCACTTAGTGATGGCAATCTTTGCAGTCCAATTGCTTTGGTTAAGTGAATCCCAAAGTCAGTGAAGAAGAAATTTACAAGTCCCAGGCGAGCAGGCAGGTAAATGGCTGCTGCCAATGAGGGAAGAAATAAGTGGATGCATGGGGCTGGATTGGGGAGGATGTGTGAGGCTCATGAGAGGAAGGAGGACACAGTGTGTGAGAAAAGCATCACACAGATTGGGAAGGTTGCACACACTGCACAAGGATGTGTGAGGGGTGCCATGCGGATTGGGGAGGATGCATGGAGGTATGGCATAAATCTGGAAAGGTATGCAAGAGTGCACTGACTTTCTGGAAAAACCAGCAAGGAAGATTGCAAATGGCAATCACATGATGGCAGGTGTTTGGCAGCCAGTTGTTAGCGTGAATGAGTTACCAAATGCTCAGATCGTGATCATTTCACCATGAGGGCAGTGCAATGGCCATAACTTTGGCGATCAGTCATGAGTCCTTTTGTTCAGTATTGTAATTGATGAATGAATGGTTATAAATCAAGGACTACTTGTACTAACCAAGACTGCTAGAAAATAGGAATTTAATTTGGGCATTTTAAAGGATGATGACTTTAAAAGGTATTAAAACTAACTAAAAGTTAGTATTTGCTGCTGTAGCTGTAGCAATAATTTTCACAGGAATAGATAATTAACTTCCTTTCATATATTACCTAATTATTCCCAGTTTTGAGGTTTTTATATACATTATATATATTTATATTATTCCAATTCATCATTCCTTCCCTTTTGTTCATGCTTGAGAATACTGCAGACAAGTCTAAGAGAAACTTAATTATAATTTTACTCTGCGAACTATTTTAACTAAATATGTTCATAAATTTACTAGAGGAATACATAACTAAGACTTACTGTTAAAAATGGACTTACTTATAATAATGTTCCCAGAGATTTCTGTATCTACCTTGACCTGACATATCAAACACAGTGAATGATAAACTGTAAAGAAACAATAAAACAGGGCATTAGATCTGTGACACATTCTGGATTGCAATCTTGTATAAATTATATTATGCCAATTCAGTGTAATAACAACTTTTTGACTGGTACACATTTTTTAAAATTGATATTTAATTTAATATGATGTGTGAGTTTTATTGACAAGTGTCAAACTAAATTAAAAACATAGTTTTATACAAAGAAATAATCCATATTAAACAAAGAGGAACTTAATTGGTTCTTCACACTGTTGTCTTACTCAGTGCTGTGCACTTCTAAATATAAAGAAAACTACTTCCCATCATTCTCTTTTATTCTGCTCCATACTTCCAAAATTTGCCCTGAAGAATATCTACCTCTGTAATCTTGTTAAACTGCATGATAATTTTATACAACACCTTAACTATTAAAAGCTAATCAGTAGCTTTAACAGTCAATCATCATATGGTCAGGAAGATGAGCCCAACTGTAAAGTATTTTTCGGATTTACTGGTCATGTCCATAACATAAGAGATGGGTGTGTTTTTCTTACAAGAAAGTTAACCTCCATTTACCCAATATCTCCTATTAAACTATAAGAATAGTGCTAAAATGGAAGGAGCAAGGTGGGTCTGCCTAAGAACCTCTAATTCTAAACAAAATAACCACATGATTTCTCTCCAACTAGTTTCTCTAAAGTGTCTCAACATGTCTTGAATGCAAGATCTTATTCAAAAAGCAAGTAACTAGTTTAGATAGATACTGTAGCTGTGCTGATTTTATCTGAAAATGTGTATACAAGGTTGTCTTCCATTTTTCCAATAAACATTTCTTCCTAGAGATTTGGGTTCATTAAAAAGAAAGTTTCTCATTAAAACTTTCTTCACATGTGAGATGCACAATTCAGATTTACCTTATGTGTTTCAGGACATGACATTTTCAGAATGAAAAAAATGACACTTTAAATGTTATATCTGAAACATTTTCTTTAATGATTTAATGCATAATTAAATAAAAAGCTATAAAAATATTGGAATAAAAGCGTACTACCTTGATGTTCTGAATTTCTCTATACTGAATCCTATTGTAGGAACAATATCTTGAGCTTGAGCCTGTGCAAAAGAAAAATTGAGTTAAAAACAAATTGTTATTTTAATATTTAAAATCAGTGATATATATTATCTCTTAATTGAAATAGTGTATTGAAGTCATAATAAAATATTATCAAACTGTATAACAAGCAATGATACTAACACTTATAAAAGAATACATATGTTTTTGAATAAAAAAGATATATTTATCTTTTAAGTTTGCCCCTAATTTTTTACTCAGCATAATGGTGGCTCTGCAGGCTTTTTTATTTGCTTTTATTCAATCCAATTGTATATAAACCACCTTACATTTAATTTTACTTCATTTATTAGTACTCAACAATGGGATGCAGTTATTCTTGTTGTCTTATAATGTGAGTTGTTCAGGTGCTATATTAATTTGGATGAGCCTCTTGTTGGCTATGTCATATCTCTGTGCTGTTTGTTTCCATCTTTTTTCATTATTGTATATTGCTTTTTTTAATCGTGTTTTATTACAAGCTGTCAACAATTGGTCTAAAGTTAGGAAAACAAATAAATAAATACATTTATTTGAAGCCTAAATATTTGTCTACAACTTCTGTAGCAGGTATTCATCAGGATTGACACTGTTGTTTGTTTTAGGATAATTCAATTACAACATTCACTTTTGAAAAAAAATAAGTATGTAGTTCATCAAAGAAATAAAGAATATAAGCACTGAATTTGTCTCACTCACTTATCTAAATGTTAGTCATCAACATTGTGGATGTGGATCCAATATTTAATGTACTCTTTCTGTGTTCCTCACAAAACTATAGGGATTAATCATTAGTGTTTGTTTATGCAATCTAAATATATTGTGGAATCTCCTAACTTTTGAGAAAAACATAGAGAATGAGTGATGTACCAATTGAGAAAGATAAAAATATTTATAATCTGTCAAGCATAAGTATTTCATCTTCTTAACTGGAAGATGATTTACTGGTAAGAAACAATGAAATGTTTAAGAACCAGAGTAAATCTTAACTTATTTTGTATTTTGCATTTAAATACAGTACACATATACTTTGTTTTTGCTAAAATTGTTTCTTTAACAAATCAATCATTATTTATAATACTATTACTCATCTGAATGCTTTCATGACTTAAATATTCTTTTTCAGAGATATAATCAAACAAGTCATTGCCCATTTAAATCCAAAAAATGTAAGGAGCCTGGATAGCTCAACAGACTAAAAGCCTGTTATTAACATTCAGCTGTCTGTAATTATTGCATGTTCGAATCTCCCCAGGCTCAAGGTTGACTCAGCCTTCCATCCTTTCTAAGGTAGGTAAATTGAGGACCCAGTTGTGGGGACAATAAGCTGACTTTGTATAAAATATACAAAAGTATGAAGGCTACTGCTTAACGCATTGTAAGCCGCCCTGAGTCTCCGGAGAAGGGCGGCATGTAAATCTAATAAAAATAATAAAATAAAATAAAATAAAATAATTATAGGGGTGACTTATTTATTGTATTTTAAGCTACAGAAAAATAAAATGCTCTTGATTAATTACATAGAAGACCAAAAGCATAAAATTCCACAGCAATCAGTATGTGAAACTGAATATAAATTGTACAAATATAGTCACTTTAACCCGGGGCATTACAATTCTTTAAAAAATATAGGACTGAAATCCTAGATTGTCTTAGAAAATAAGACTATCTTTGCATGAAGTCAAATAAGATATTAAGGTGGTATTGAATGTCCATAAAGGCAAAAGAAGCTTACCAGCACATATTATTACATTACATATACACATACTAAATTTTCATTGGGATTTCATTCTACCCAATAATTACGGATAATAAAACTGCAGATAATGAGGCCTGGAGTCTATAGGGATTAGGAAAGACCAGTGACTGATTGGAGGCTTGGAGGGTATATTGTGAAAAAAAATCAGGGATGAATGACCTGGTGAGAAAGAAAACAGCACTGCAAAGACTGGCAACTGTGCATGGGAAGAAAAGGTGAGAGCGCTGCTGCGGGATGAGTGGCAAGTACCGAAAAGATATAGGAAAATATAGACTGAGCAGATTGGTAAAACTGGCAGCAAACTGCTGGGAAAATGTATTTGAGGACTAATGAATATACAAAATGGCAGATAAGAATCACATCTTCAAACCCACAAATATGCCGAAATCTTTACTCTAATTATTTCTGGTCCATATATATATAAATTGCAAATACATAAAACTGCCTGTAGGTAGTCCTCGGCTTACAACTTCATTTAGTGTCTGTTCGAAGTTACAATGGCATTGAAAAAATGATCATTGCAGCATCCCATGGTCACAGATTTATACTCAGATGCTTGACAATTGGTTCATATTTATGACGGTTGCAGTGTCCAGGGGTCATGTAATTAACTATCTTGTGTGACTTTCTGACAAGCAAATTCAATGGGGAAGCCAGATTCACTTACTAATTTAACAACTCCAGTGATTTATTTAACAAATGTGACAAGAAAAATTGTAAAATGGGCAAAACAAACTTAATAAATTTCTTACCTATAAACATAAATTCTGGGCTAAATTGTGGCTGTTAGTCAATGACCACCTGTAGAATTAGGGCTCCAATGTATATACAGTAAATAGCATTAACTTGCTTTACTATGTAATCCTAGTTTAAAAGTCATAAAACTGCTAATGGTCCTCAGCAAAATTGACAAACGTATTAGTTCTTAATTGCTTCATTGTTAATATTGGTTATTTCTTCTTTAGAGGATAAATTAAAGAAATAGCCAATATTAACACTGAACCAATGAGTCTGAGATCATAGTAATTTACTTTCATAATGTTCCTTTTTTGAATTCTACTGTATATTGAACTAAGTTATTTATTCATTAGATGATTAAAGTTTACAGTCCAAAGAATATTTATTTTCTAAATTCAGTATTACAAATTTAAACACAATTCCTATTAGCATTTATTTTTGGAAAGATAAACTGTACAAACATGAAAAGTTTATTTACAATTTACTCCTTCTCAAAGAGGTATATATAAATTTTGTCTTGAAATTAAATATTGAAACTATTCCATGTTTCCACAAATATCTCTAGTGATATATATATATCAGCTTTTCAACAACATAAAATGAATTGGTAATAAAACTAAAAATATCTACTTACATTATATGGTTTTAACTTGTTGATAATTGTTGTTTTACCACTGTTGTCTAATCCAAGGCACAGAACATGAACTTCTTTCTTTTTCAGACCAAGCCAACTTGCCAGTTTATCAAATAATCCCATAATTTTGATTGAATGGCACAGACAATTTGTGTATTTCTAAAGGTTGTAGATAGATAGATAGATAGATTTAAAAATTGAAATTACTATAGATGAACATGAAGGCAAAGATTTCAACACAATTAAATCAGAAGCATCCTGAAGAAGAAATAGTTGCAAATCATGTCACAGCAGGCTAGTTAGCCTAAGGAACAAGTAGATAAGCTGCTTATTTGGAAAGTCTTCTGGTCAAAACAGGCTAGGTACTTATCTTTCTGTTAAAGCACAGTATCTTTCTGTCAATGGATAAATGTGATTTTACAATTCATAAAGCATCGTGCAATGAGGCTAAGTTTTTATTTGTACAAAAAAATTAGAAGTAGATCCATATTTCTCATTTTATAGTTTAACCAAAATCAGAACATTCTGTACAGTGCACTATTAAAAATATTCAAGGATCAAGAAGTGAACCCAGTCATTATATCAGACCCACAAATAAGAGTTTCACGCCTTATTAAGCATCTTTCCCCCTGAGCCGTGAATAAACTTGCTGCATTTCTGGTTCCACCCAGATAACAGAATTGTTTTAAGGGTAATCAAGAGCACGATTTCCCACGCTGGTGCTTTTCGAATATATGGACCCCAAATCCAGAATCCCTTCCTAGCGTGGCCTGAGAACGATTCGCCTTTAAATCCTACGCATCCAGGGGAGCTGCTTTAAAGAATGACATGGTTCACTAGGTAAAACCCGGATTTAAAATCTTTGCTCTGCCATGAAGCTGGCTGGGTTAGCATGAGTCGATCCCGCTCTTTCGTATTGATAACCTACCGTAATCCTCTCCCAGGATTCGTCCAAATAAAGGAGGGGGGGGGAGGCTCTGGAAAGCCAGGTGCCCTAATCTTGTAGAGAAAGACTACATAACGTTAAATTAAAAGTACAAGAGAAGCACTCAACCCGACGTACCCCCCCCTTTTTTTTTATATTTTTAAAGGAGCAGGAATCCGCGCCTCTACTATACTATACTCACCAAAGCAAACGCGACCGACAACAGCTGCCCGCCGGGCCTTGAAAGAGCAAGAACCCCCTCCTCTTCTCTCCCCGCCCCCCACTCTCCACTTCCCCGACGCCTACGTCGTTACCTCGGAAACAGAACCGTTCTGTAAACCACGCCCTCCTCGAGGCGGAGCGTCTTTTTCAGTCCAGGGTGGCGGTGAACTTTTGGTGGTTCTTTGTGGGGTGAAGAGTCGCCATTGCCTGGATAGGAAAGCGGGGGCGGTCCGCCCTAGAACCCCCTCACCTTCCGCCCCGAGTGACAGGAGGAATACAGAAGTATCAAGAGACGGAGCCAGGGGTTGAATATCCTGGTGACGAAGAAGTGCCGTGGGAAGGAACAGTAATCCCGATAGTCTGCTCTCCGCCCCTCCACATTTGGCGTTTGGTCAATGTCTTCTTTAAATTAAACGGTTAAAAGCTCAATATGTCCGCATAGGAGCGAGGCGAGGGTTGGATTTTGATGGGGCGTGTGTGTGTCAGAGACGTGATTTAGAAAGACGGCTGCTTGGCTTTTAATGCGTATAACACAAATTAACCTCGTCCATCCTATTAACTCCCAAGTATTAACCTAGCAAATTATATTGCGCGCCTACTTACAGCCCCTCCCCTTCCTGCTGTATGTTAAGAGTTGTCAATTGTGTTGCTGAGTTAAAATGTTCCAAGGCAGCAAAAACCCGCATCCGAATTTAAATGAGCGTTTATTTTATAATCCTGTTCTCCGTTTCTGATTCGGTGTGCCCAAATCATTCCTGAATGGTTCTATTGATCTTTTGAATATGGTTTTTTTCATGTTGTTGTACCTGGATTAATAGGTGATTGTATTTCTTGGCCATATCTGCTATTTGCTAATGCATTTCTGAATAGATTTTTCTTTTGCAGACTTCACAGCCTGGTTTCTTCGTTCTTAACCTTTGCAATTCTCCTTTATTACTCGTTTTGCATACTGTGCGGTACTGATCTGCACAATAGTTCAGGGATATTTACCTTCTGTAATGAAAACGGAGCATATTGTACCGGGAAAGAGGAAAGAAAGTACAGCATTGCATTCTTGCTTTGTAGAATATTGTTGAATTTCATTTCCTTGCTGAAATTGTGGATTGACTAATGGTAAACTATGTGAATTGTACTCAAAGTCTGGAAGAATCTGGCCCAAACAGTACTTAGAAATTCTATAGGAAGTATACCAGTGTTTTCTAGCTTTTGTACTTCAGCTCCAGGTAATAATGGGCAATTTGCTGACAGTTTGCAGGTTACAGATTATAAAATGTTTGAATTATTCTGTGCCTAGAAAATATTTTTTTCTCTTAGTTTTGTTTAATAACCAGGATGCAGACTGTTTCTTTTAACATGCTGCTTTAAAGCCAGTTGCTCTTTAAAGCCAGTTGTCTTATGGCAACTGTTCCACCAATTAAATTGTATTGGAAGGTTTACTAGTAGAAGAATGAAGCTGTGGTCAGTTTAATTACTGTTTATTTCTAGAGGTAATACCAACATTTCAGATTTTGCTAATTTTATAACATCTCTTTCTATAAAAGAACTAGAGAAAAGTCAAGCTTCTTATCTCTATTTCCCAAGTTAATAGTAGCAAGGAAGGATTAGACCCCCACACCCAATCTAGACTTTGCTCTACTCATTTGCCTTTAAATCTGTAGTTCAAGGTCAGGAAGCAGTGCAGGCTATTGACTAAGTTATTTCACATTTTCTGACTTGTTATGTGAAACAGTACAGGGAACAATGGCTCTTGGCTTTGCTGTGCATCCAGTGTGTATGTTATTAATTTTTTTTTAAAAAAAGTATAGCCATTTGCATTATCTGGTTCTAAAAATTCTGAGTTTATTTTCTGTAATTTGTGCATTAATAAAAATAGCTGGTTTCTCTAACATCTCCACCCCGGACCACCCCAACGATGCCCTTGAAGTGATGTCCCGGTGCCTGGAGGCCGTGCGGGTCTGGATGGGGAGGAACAGGCTCCGACTCAACCCCTCCAAGACTGAGTAGCTGTGACTGCCGGCGTCCCGATATAGTCAGCTGGTGCCATCGCTGACTATTGGGGGCGAGACATTGGCCCCCACAGAGAGGGCGCGTAACTTGGGTGTCCTCCTGGATGCACAGCTGTCTTTAGAAGAGCATATGACGGCCATGGCCAGGGGGGCTTTCTATCAGGTTCGCCTGATACGCCAGTTGCGCCCCTTTCTGGATTGGGACTCCCTATGCACGGTCACTCATGCCCTCGTTACTTCCCGCCTGGACTACTGCAACGCTCTCTACATGGGGCTCCCCTTGAGGAGCACTCGGAGGCTCCAATTGGTGCAGAATGCGGCCGCGCAGGTGCTTATGGAGGCGACATGGTGCTCCCATGTGACACCTCTCCTGCGCGAGCTGCATTGGCTTCCAATGGTCTTCCGGGTGCGCTTCAAGGTATTGGTTCTCATCTTCAAAGCGCTCCATGGCTTAGGGCCCGGTTATTTACGAGACCACCTTCTGCCACCGATAACCTCCCACTGGCCAATACGCTCCCACAGAGAGGGCCTCCTCGGGGTGCCGTCTGTCAGGCAATGTCGGCTGGCGACCCCCCGAGGAAGAGCCTTCTCTGTGGGGGCACCCGCCCTCTGGAATGAGCTACTCCCAGGGATACGACTGATCCCGAACCTCCGTACCTTCCGCCGGGCCCTGAAGACTTTTATTTCAGCAAGCCGGGCTGGGTTAAAAATCTTTTAATTGGGGAATTTTATGGGTAAGGGTTTTAAATTGGGGAAGCCATAGATTTAATTTCATTTTAAAGAATTTTAATATTTGTATTGTGTGTTTTTAATTTTGGCTGTTCACCGCCCCGAGTTCTTCGGGAGAGGGGGCGGTATAAATTTTTTTAAAATAAATAAATAGATAGATAGATAGATAGATAGATAGATAGATAGATAGATAGATAAATAAAACCTGTAGGACTTTTAAAAATTACACAATTTAGGTGAACAAACACACAGAAATAACCACGAGTACTATACTTTTATTTGCTAATAAATATCTTAGTAAACAGGCTTATTCCATTTGTAAGACTTGATAATGCCTCTTAGGAAATCATAGAAAAATAAAACACAATAATAATCAGTAACTTGTACTTTGTACAAATATCTTATTATGTTGCTCAGCATGTAGCTTTGCCAAACCCCATACACTTTCTGCAAATAGATGGCATATGGATGCAATTCACCTTAAAATGCCCTCATTATGAAAGCTGAGCATTTTATTACATTGCTAACTTAATAGGCAAGCTAGCACATGAAAAATCACATGAAACATATTATCAAAGTAGATTTCACATAAGGAGAATAATTTCTCTCAAAGTTATTAATTTTTAATTAAAAAATGGGAATCAGGATGAAATTGGAATTCCGAATATATATATATATTAACCTTTCTTTTGAACAACTATTCTTGATTTATTACTATAGCTAATAAAAGAAAATGTGAATGTGATTTTATTTAATGGAGCAGCCTCAAAATCGATACCAAGCCCTTCTTTTCAAACATGGTAGCTCTAATTTGCAATTGGTAGTAAGACACAAAATATTAAAAATGGGTAAAAGGCATAGTTTTAATGCAATGAGCTTAGGCATCCAAATTATTCTATATGCATAGAGATACTGGAGTGAAATATGCATAGAGATATTGGAGTGAAATGGGAAATATTGTCAGATTTGTGAATCTATGAAATGAGTTTGAAACTCAAATTCAAGTTCGTATATTAGAGGACAATGAATTATTTTTTGCCATTGCAACTTGGAGCAAATACAAAAATTTTTTTAATTATTTTTACTTCTTTTAAAGTAAAGCAAGGAGTAATTTTAAAAAGTTGATTGTTTTCAAATGATAAACTTAAAGAGTTTAAATTTAGGTTGCTATCTATGCTCCAGGGTGTAATCCTAGAAACTTTAAAAGTATTTTGCATTTCCATATCAGTGGAGCTGATCCACTGGAATAGGTGTCCTCATTCCTCTGACAGGAGTCTCCACAGCCATTTCTCCTCTGCCATTAGTTTTTTTCAGCAAGAACTACAGTATGTGTTCATGGGTGTGGATTGAGGTCAATCTTGAATTTATAAGGTATAAGCCCCACTTAAGACACAATACTAGATTATGTTAGCCACAGAGTATATGTATTTATCCCATTCTACTTGTTAACAAATCTCCAAACATCTTTCCTGATTGATGTGATTCCTGTAAAATTTAGGAATAATAATTTACCCACTAAATTATCCTGTGAGGACAGGTTTCTTTTTGTTACTGTTTTAGAAATCTCGTTTATTTGGACATTGCTATTTCAAATATAATTTTACACTGAGTCAAATATATGCCTGTGCTAGCAATGCAAACGTAGCAATCATATACCGGTAAAAAGGGGAAAAAAGTACAATTCTCTTAATCTGTCAGCATTTATTACTGTGTTGTATTAGTTAAACAGGAATACAATAGAAATAGGTCTTCTGTGTTGCTGTATTTTTCATTAAAATAGTTGTTTGGATCAGGAAAATGACATTTGAAAATTTCTAAAAACTTGTTTTTAAAGACAGAAATAGCATAGAAGCTTTAGATTTGTTAAAAGGAGTGTTACACATTTTCTGTAGTTAATCATACCTAACACCAAAGTAAGAGATAAATACTTGAGTTTCTGCCAGTAGCATAATCCTGTATCCTGAGTGGTTCATATTTTATGAATCCAAGTATAAATGTAAATGTTATTACAACTTGATATTATGTGATTGTTTTGTATTATTAAAATTATTTGATTTTATTTTGTTCTGTGTAGGAATGAACCTGATCAGCAATGTAGATTTATTTGTCCCACCAGTATTTATAATATACAGCTGGGATCAAGTTCTGGTTTTTATTTTAGGTTTATATTACATTACACTATAACAGCAGTTTTCTATTTCCAAAAAATATGTTTTTTGCAGAATATACTGGTAGTAATAGCATCTATCCGTCACTTTTGGAAGTTAATTTTTGTATTTTGATGGACACTATACATAAAGCAAACAGGAAGCCCTTCTAGGTGTATTATTTCAAGTTTACAAA